GAGGCCTTACGCAGTCACGTGCAGGCAGCTGGCCAATCACTGGGAGCGGGGCGGGGCCTACCCAGAGGATGTGAAGAGTCCTTTCTGCGGACTTCTCAGACGATTTCCACACTCGCAAGTGATCTAATGTCGCGCAGCGGATCAGTCCCTGAGCAGCGCCAGCAGGCGTCAGAGGCAGAGGCCACGGCCACAACCTTCCGGGCGAGCGGTAACTGCAGGGCGTCTGGGACTCCTGGGACGCGGAGCCGAGCCCTCCCCTTTCCTTAGGAAGTTATCGTCCCTACCCCCGGTCGGCGCGCCCACCGGGCAAGGTTGCACCACGAAGGGACACGCCGGAATTGGGGTCGCAGGTTAATTGGAGCTGGGAAAGCTCAAGCCCCGGTCTTTAGCTCCTGAGCGGGACAGGGCCAAGAGGGTGCCTCAGAGCTTGGGTCTGCTGGTGGGTGAGACCTAGGGCAAAGGGGGTCCGAGAGTATGGCTGACTGATCTTCCCTCTCTGTCCCCAGAACATCAACATATCCGCTACAACCCGCTACAAGATGAGTGGGTGCTGGTGTCAGCTCACCGCATGAAGCGGCCCTGGCAGGGGCAAGTAGAGCCCCCGCTCCTGAAGACCGTCCCCCGCCACGACCCCCAAAACCCTCTGTGTCCCGGGGCTACACGGGCCAATGGAGAGGTAAGACTTTAGAACCTACATGTGCAGCTGGATCAGGAGTAGTAGCTTCCCCTTAGATCTGCCCCTCACCCACAAGGAAGTGGACCTCCTGGGTCACATCCCACCAAGTCTTTCTGACCCCACAGTGGACCTTCCACACTCCCTTGTAACCCGTCCAGCCTCTGAAGCCTGCCAGATGACTGGTGGGTATGAAGCAGCAAATGCTTCTAGCCCATTCTTGTCAGTAGGTGAATCCCTACTATGATGGCACCTACCTGTTTGACAATGACTTCCCAGCCCTGCAGCCTGATGCCCCCAATCCAGGTAACCAGGTTCTAGCTGTTGTTGGGGGGAAGAGAGGCTGGACCTTTTGGGGGACTTCTGCTGCAGAGAGTGATACCCTTTTTTCTCAGGACCAAGTGATCATCCCCTTTTCCAAGCAGAGGCTGCTCGAGGAGTTTGGTAACTATGGATTTCCTCTCTTACCTTCAGCCCAGGGCTTGGACTGAGCACGGGGGTTGGACCCTGCCCCTAGCACAGCCAAGCTCTTTATCTGTCATCTCTCCCTCAATCACCACCTAGTAAGGTCATGTGCTTCCACCCCTGGTCGGATGTAACGCTGCCACTCATGTCAGTCCCTGAGATCCGTACTGTCATCGATGCATGGGCCTCAGTGACAGAGGAGCTGGGTGCCCAGTACCCTTGGGTGCAGGTCTGTGAGGTTGTCCCCTTCCCCGAATGGGCAGGGAGGGCGTGGTGCAGCTTTGGAGCTGGGAAGTGGTATTCCTGTTTTCACGGGGTGTGGTCCGGAGGGGCTGATTTCGTCTCTCTTTGGCTACAAAAGCTCTCTACCCCTACTTGATAGATCTTTGAAAACAAAGGAGCCATGATGGGCTGTTCCAACCCCCACCCCCACTGCCAGGTAAGTGAGTCAGGGGCCCCAGTGGATTTCTGGGGTGAGTCCAAGGCAGTCCTGTGGGGAAGGAAACTGGAGGGGTAGAGTAAGCAAGCTTATAATGTTGGAGGCTTGGGGGTGAGGATCTGCTTGTTCTCTGTTGCCTCCCCTTGATAGGTGTGGGCCAGTAGTTTCCTGCCAGATATTGCCCAGCGTGAGGAGCGATCTCAGCGGGCCTATCAGAGTCAGCATGGAGAGCCCCTACTAATGGAGTATGGCCACCAGGAGCTGCTCAGAAAGGTAGGAGGAGAAAGCCAGACCCTGTTTCCCCAAGGAGCCCCTAACCTCACCCCAAAAGAGAAAGAAAGGTGTGTGGAGGGTAGAAGGGAAATAGCAGAGAGACTTGATGGGAAGCCATAGCAGTAATCTAAAGGAAAGATGATGGTGGCTTAGATTAGGGTGGTAGCGGTGGAGGTGGTAAGCAGCCATCAGATTCTGGATATATTTTTTTCTTCTTCTCCTGGCTATTTGCTGACAACCCCTACCTTGATGACTTCATCTCCAATTGGTCTGTCCAGGAACGTCTGGTCTTAACCAGTGAACATTGGTTAGTGCTGGTCCCCTTTTGGGCAGTGTGGCCCTTCCAGACACTGCTGCTGCCCCGTAGGCATGTGCGGCGCCTGCCTGAGCTGACCCCTGCTGAGCGTGATGGTGAGTCTCCCAACTGGGACCCTGGGCCAGGCACTGGATGGAGATGGCTCTGGTAGGGCCAGCATCTGGGCTTCAGGCTGAGAGTCAGACTCTTATTCCAGATCTAGCCTCCATCATGAAGAAGCTCTTAACCAAGTATGACAATCTATTTGAGACATCCTTTCCCTACTCCATGGGCTGGCACGGTAAGTCTTTTTGAGCACCCATATATATAGCCCCAACATCATTTCTGAGGTCCTGAGACCTAGCTCAGTGGACTGCAACCCCCAGTAGGCTTTGAAATACTTGCTGGGGGAAGTGTCCAGAGCAGGGATGCTGGGACTGAAGGTGGAACAGCAAACCGGGTGCAACTATATCTCCCAGTGTTTTCCAATGCCTTGTCTACTCACTGGCAGGGAATGCTGGGAGATGTAGTTTTCAGGTACCTAGCCTGGTTTGGGTATAGGGGCTGGGCCAGCGAACTAAAAAATGGCCATCCCCGATTATCTCTTTTTCCTGTCAGGTGCTCCCACAGGATCAGAGGCTGGAGCCAATTGGGACCACTGGCAGCTACATGCTCATTACTACCCTCCACTCCTGCGCTCTGCCACCGTCCGGAAATTCATGGTTGGCTATGAAATGCTTGCCCAGGCACAGAGGGACCTCACCCCTGAGCAGGTCAGGTTTCAGAGCATCCTGGGTCCTTTGGTTCCCTTTTGTGTCTACCATTTACCCAAAGGAGCCCAGTGATCATGACCCTGAGAACCTGTATAACACAGGCATTCCTAAGGACTCGGGAGCTGCTCAGCTCTGGCCTCTGGTTATTCTTGCAGTCCTTATCCTCCGTCTTCTGGTCCTATAAGTCTTCCCTCCACTCATTACCTCTCTTCTACTCATACCCTCTATACCACCATTCTGGGCAGCCCTTATCCTCCCTAATTGCCCCCTATTCCCTTCCAGGCTGCAGAGAGACTAAGGATGCTTCCTGAGGTTCATTACCGCCTGGGGCAGAAGGACAGGGAGACAGCAACCATCGCCTGACCACACTGACCACAGGGCCTTCTGCTTGAGGGAACCAGGGCCTAGGGTTTGGGAAGATGTGGGATCAATAAAACTAAACTGTGTTTCTCAAACTTTAATCACATATTCTAATGCCAGAGGAGTATGAACTATAACCCTCAGGATCTGGGTTAAAGGCACAGTGCCAGCCACAACTTTTCTTTGTCTACAGATGTACAAAAACCTAGAGTACAAATATTCCACTCCAAATCTCTGAACAAAATTAATACTTAATGTTATGTCTGGCCTATAGATTCTTTTACCCCTGGAGTAGCAAAGGCATCACAATTTAAGAAACTTTTAAAATCTTGTGTTCTTGTCTGTGGCTAAGGGTTTGGGAAGGGCAGAGCACCCTTTACCACCATCCCTAGGGTGTCAGCTCATCAAGCCTGGGCCTGAGGGTTTGGTGGGGAGCGGGTGAGCCAGATCCTGGTCCTGGTGGTCAGTGGCCAGACACTGGGCTGCTGGCCAGAACCTTGGCTTTGTGAGAGACTGCAGCTTGGCTCTGCTCCATCCCACAGGGACTGAAGGGGCGGGTAGGGAGTGTACATGGCTTTGTGTCCTTGACTTCTTTACTCTCATGTGCAGCATATATGTGCAGACACTGCACACTTGTGTTGCCCACATGCCCCAATCATTGCAAGGGAAGAAAGAAAATGGCTCTGGCAGGGAAGGGGTTATCAGAGTCAGGAGCCCCAGCAACTAGAAGGAGGGGGGATGGTTTTTGGAGTGACCTTGGGTCTACTACCTCCCCTCTGGACTGGTTTCCTTGACAAGAATGTATGACTGTAGCAGTAACAGGGCATGCAACCCAGGAGACCTGATGCCACCTAGTGCCCTCCGAACTTTTAGGTGAGGATAGGGCTTGTGAGCAATGCAAGGATGGCCAGAGACTTATTATCTCCATCTTCTCTCAAGGGACTGGAGTTTGGCAGGGGCTATCATGCCAAGACTAGACAGTGATAACTTGGCCCAGAACCTTGGCTGCCTGCCTTCCAGTCCAGGGTTTTTTCTTTCTTAAGACCCTGAATGGGTAGGGTCTGGGACTTGGAGTCTCTGGAAGGATCTCAGACAGACATGGTACACATCTCCCTTGAGATCCCAGTGACTGGAGAGTGGATGTGAATCCTGGATGAGTGGCTGGTTTCTTTAAGGCATACACCTACACAAACACCTGACGCAACACCCTTGATTTGGCTGTATTCTGGGATCATTTGGGAGTTTTAAACACTGATGCCAAGGCCAGCTTCCAGACATTCAGACTTAACTGGAGTGTGGCTTGGCGATTTTAAACTACAGTGTTCTGGCAAAGTATGAGAAACATCGCACCACAGAAGTCCTAACCTGGAGTCAGGGATACCACAGCTTCTCCAGTCACCTGCTCAATGCCTCCTGAGCCACTGAACTTGAGGCTTTGTTCTTGGACTGCTGGAAGGAGGATGGGTCTGAAAACTTCCAGTCCTGCTGTCTCAGGAGGACAGGACTCTAGGCAAAAGGATCCAGGAACCCAGCTCAAGACTCCGTCCCCCAGCAGTCTCTCAGTCCGGGACGGGACAGGAAGTGTCCGGCAGAGGTGGGGTGGAGGTGATTGGCAGTTGGAGGCTCCAATGGGCCCAGACCTTCCCTCTTTTCACCCTTGTCCTTCCATTGGTGCCTGGGTGGAGCCGCCCCCGCTGCGGGGGCCCCGGGGCGAGAGGGAGTAGAGGCCGGGGCAGAGGGCGGAGGGCGCTGGCGGCGGAGGCCGCGGAAGGTGAGGCCTGGTGGGGCCGGCGGGAGTACTGGAGGAAGCCTTGCCAGGAGAAGGCGGGGCAGGGTAGTGTACGATCTGAAGGGCCTGGAGTGATTGTGATTGACGGACTATCAGAGTGTGTGTGTGTGTGTGTGTGTGCGTGTGTGAGTGTGACGATGTCAGTGTGTGGACCTGTAACTGAATATCACTTGGTGCAACTGTCAGTTAATATGACTGCGTTTCAGTGTGCATGTGGTTGAGTCTGTATGTGGTTGTGCAAGTGTGGGATGATGTGTTTCTGTCAATGTGCAGTTTTTGGTGAGGCTGGGTTGTGTTTGTGTGAGAGGGCCTGTGACCACATGGGGAATGCATTTTGGGAAGGTCTCCGGGATTTAAGACTGCCAGTGTGAGAGTGGGTGGCTGGGTTTGTCTGTGCCATTGTGTGACTTCAGCAGTAGCAGAGCAAGAGTGAGATTTGTACTATGTGTGTATTCTGTGTCCTGTGTTAGATTGTGTAGGAGTGGAGCTGTGTTGTACTTGGGGACCAACTTCAATAGTCAATGGGACTGACCTTTCTATTTTAATGTCCCACAAAGACAGACCCACCCCAACACACTTGGCTTCTTTTTCTTACTGTGCTCTAGAGTCCCTGTCATTGGTCTACTCCTTATTTTCTGTTTCCCTGTCTCAGTTTCCTTATATGTCTTTTTTTCTCCCTACTACTACTGTCTTCCTAAAGCTGTCATTTTCTGTGTCTCCTCACAGTTTTGTCTCCCCAGGTGTCTCTCCTCTGTGTATCTGCTTTTTAGTTCTGCCTCTCAACGTCCTGTGCATTTCTGTGCCCCTATGGCTGACTTCCCTGTTCACCTTTGTCTTTTTGGCTACATGAGGGCCTGGGGTAGTGATGAGATGTGGGATTTGCCATGCTAAGAGCTCCCTGAAAGAGGGGACTTAAATCATGATGATTTGCTTTCAAGGAGTGCTGTGACCCCATCCCAGGGGCAAGGTGCTGATTATCTGTGTGTCTATGTGAGGGTACGAGTCTGAGTGACAATGTCTGACTTTATCCATGTGACTGTGAGTGGCTGTATCTGAGAGTATGTGTCTGAGGGTAAGTATGGGTCTTATGTATCTGGCACCAAGGGACCAAAGGCATTTCCTGGTACTGGGGCCCAAAGAGTGGAGGGGGAGGTGAGAAATGGCTGGAACGTCCAGGGGCGGAGGAACTGGACTCTGGATTTTCCTTATATCCCCCAACCTGGGGCCTCCCTTCCCCTCAAAAACCAGCAAACTATGCCCTAAGGAAATATTGACTGGGGAGTGAAAAGAGTGGGGCATGAGTCTGTGTCTGATTTTGTATTTGGTTATGTCCACATGTGTTTAAGGGAGTGTCTTTTTATTGATTGTGCCTATTGAGTCCACACATGAATGTGGCTGGGTGAAAACAGGGAATCTCTCCCTGACAGGGACATAAGCAGCCCTCCTTTCTCTCTTGCTGGCCCTGGCTGTGCCTGTGGCTTCCTTTCCAGACTGAGGGGAGGCCTCTTCCCTTCCCAGGGCCTCGGGTGGGAGGGGGGTGAAAAGAGAGGAGGGAGGAGGAAAGAGGGAGGGGGGGGCTAGCTCAGGGCGGCTGAGCTCTAGGGCCCAGAGGGGCGGGGGGAGGGAAGGGGAAGGAGGGGATAATTCTGGGGTCCCAGAACTGAGTGGAGCTGAGACGGGTACTGTAGCTGGTGGGAGGAAGTCCTGGAGGCCATGGACACTCAGCCACTGGGATCACCGAGGTAGGGTGGGGCTGGGTAGGGTAAATCTTCCCTGGGGAAGGGGGGGAGGGGCAGGGGTGAGCCACTAGACACATTCAGGCTGATGCACAGGCACATGGAGGCCCTTGCTCTGCTCTACTTGTGAGGGGTCTGTGCTCTTCCTCTTCTGGAGCCTTTGCCTGCCTGGGCAGAGCCTCTCCCTTTCTGCTTCTTCTCCTGTCCCCATGGCCACTTCCCCACTGCCTTTCTCATCCTACCCCACTCCCATCCAGAATCCCTCTCTCCCAGCACCCCCACCTCCATACACATATGATTGCTTACTCCCTCTGCCCTTCTGCTTCCCTGCTGCCCAAGCCCAGCCCTTGCCTCACTGAGCCCCTACCAGCTCCCAGTCCTGATCTCTGAGCATCTCTTGGTTCTGTAGCCTCCACTCCAGGCCCCTTTCCCTGCAGGCTGCTAGCTCCTCTCAGCCTCCTCTCCCCTCCCCGACACCCTGTCTCCATCTCCTGGCTCTTCGCCCGCCCCCAGCCTCTGGCAGCAGCTAAGGCATCTGGATCTGCTTAACTCTGCAGTCTCAGCCTGCACCCTCGCCCCTTCCAGCCTCACAGGCTTGAGACCAACAAGATTCCAGAGTCAGGCCCAGATGAGTGGTCCAAGGAGCCAGGTCCAGGAGAGAAGAGGCCTGGCAGCCAGAGCAGGGTTAGGCCTCATGGTAGGAGTACAGAGTGGGCTTAGACCTACCACGAGAGCCCCCCACCCAAGGGTGATGAAGGCTGTCTCAGATCAATCAGAGGCAATGACTAGCCCTGGGCCAGGTGGGGGTGGACACTGGAATTCCCAACAGCTGGGTTGGAGTAGTTAATGAGAGTGACTGAACTGGTGCCAGCACTTGGTGCCAGGGGTGGGCGCCAAGGGTGGTGTGTGTGTGTGTAGGGCGGGGGGGGGGACTGCTGGCACAGTCTGTCGCCTCCGGGTTTTGTTCTGGGCCTTAGGCCCAGGCCTAGGAGATGGCGGGTGTGAGGGTGTATGTGTGTGTGTGTGTTTGCGTGTTTGCACGCATCCACATGCAGCACTGGATATATGGCAGAAAGGAGGACCTTAGATCAGATCCCCTAATGTTTTCTGATATCCTTACCCAGTTTGGTACCTTAGTTTTCTTCCTAGAAGTTCCAGTTTAGAAGAGGAAGAGGCAGGGACACCTGGGTGGCTGTCAGTTGGTTAAGCATCCGACTTCATGATCTCACGATTCGTGGGTTCGAGCCCCACGTCGGGCTCTGTGCTGACAGCTAGCTCAGAGCCTGGAGGCTGTTTCAGATTCTGTGTCTCCCTCTCTCTCTGACCCTCCCCTGCTCATGCTGTCTCTCCCTCTCTCAGAAATAAATAAATAAAAACATTTAAAAAAATTTTTAAAAAAAGAAGAGGAAGAGGCAAGCTTTAGCCTCCAATCTGGGAATGGGGGATTGCTGACCGTATCTCTCTCCCCACAGATGAGCAGCAGTTGCTCAGGGCTGAGCAGGGTCCTGGTGGCCGTGGCTATAGCCCTGGTATCCGCCTCCTCCCCCTGCCCCCAAGCCTGGGGCCCCCCAGGTGAGAAGAATCCTGCTATATGACTTTAACTCTGACTTGTGACTTGCCACCCTCACTGTGGGCCCTTTCCATGCTTAGTCTGTAACCGCCCTCCCAACCCCTAACATCCAACTTGGCAACATCCCCTGTCTACTTGTCTTCTCACATCTGTCTCCAGATTATAACATGATGCTTTGACCCAATGACCGCCCCCTCAACCACAGGGCTTAAAGTCTGCCCCTTACCTAGTTGTGCTCACCAGGTGGGGGCTGGAATGGGAGAGAGGGAAAGGAAGAGCCTCTCCTTAGAAGTGCCCTCCACAGGGGTCCAGTATGGGCAGCCTGGCAGGTCCATGACGCTGTGTTGCCCTGGAGTGACTTCTGGGTAAGTGCCCCATCTTTCTATTGGGCTGATACTCATGACTCTTTCTTGACTCTGTCCAGTTCTCATGTCCCTCCCATCCTTGCCCACTGTGTCTATAATCCTCACCTCTCTAGCTATCCTAATTCTCAAACCATCCTTATTCAACAGAAAATTTCAACCAATCTGTATTGAGCACCTGCTAAGTCTGTGGTCTATTCTAGGCTCTGGGATCCAGCAGAGCACAAGCCTGGCAAGATGCCTCCCCTTGCAGAGGTTACATTCTAGTAGGGCAAATGGACAATAAGCAAATAAGAATCTTGCTAGGTACTAACACCTGAAGGGCAGAAAATCAAAAGAAAGTGATGTGGGAGAGAGAACTGATAACTGATTGGTTACTTTTTATTGGTAAGCAGGGAAGGCTTCTCTGAGGAGGTAACATTGAAGCTAATTTCTGAAGGTCAGGAAAGAGGCAGAGGGAACAGCTAGTGCAAATGCCCTGAGGTGTGAATGAGCACAATACTTTTGAAAATAAAGAACACCAGTGTGACTGGATTGCAGTGGGTGAAGGGGAGAGAGAGAGAGAGGAGCTGAAAAAGGAAAGGAAGGCAAGGTCTAGATCACCAAGGGCTTTGTATGCCAGCAAAAGGACTCTGGTTTTTACTGCAAGCACAGTGAGATGCCAACAGAGAGCCGTGGCATGGCTTACACTTTAAATCTTCCTTCTGTCATCACCTCATCTCATCCTCAGGGCCCCAGTGTCCTGGTTTCGGGAGGGGGAGACAAGGCTGCTCCAAGGACCCGGCTCTGGGCTAGGGCATGAACTGGTCTTGGCCCGGGCAGACAGCACTGATGAAGGCACCTACATCTGCCGGACCCTGGATGGTGCACTAGGGGGCACTGTGACCCTACAGCTGGGCTGTGAGTTGGGGAAAGAGTATTGGGTGGCAGTGATGAGACAAGGGGCTCTTGGAGGGAGTCCAGGCCCTGAGTAAGCCCTCTGGGTCGGGGGGGGAGGACTTGGGGACTTCTCGGACTCCAGTTGTACCCTCTGCCTCTAGACCCCCCAGCCCGCCCTGTTGTTTCCTGCCAAGCAGCTGACTATGAGAACTTTTCCTGCACTTGGAGTCCCAGTCAGGTCAGCGGTTTACCCACCCGCTACCTCACCTCCTACAGGTGTGTGCATGATTGGGTGTGTGTGCCTATACATTTTTTAAAATGTTTATTTTGAGAGAGAGAGAGAGTGCACACAAGTGGGAGAGGGGCAGAGGGAGAGAGAGAGAGAATCCAAAGCAGCCTCTGCACTGTCAGTGCGGAGCCGGACGTAGGTCTCGATCTCATGACTGTAAGATCATGACTTGAGCTGAGATCAAGAGTCAGACGCGTAGCCGACTGAACCACCCAAGCGCCCCTGTGCCTATACTTTTGGGTGTGCAGGCACAACATGGGTATGTGAGGTGGTGAGGGAGGTCTTGGGGGAGGCCTTAGAGAGAGGGAGGATTCTCTTTTCCTTCCTGACCTCAGATGGCCCCCTTCCTTTCCAGGAAGAAGACAGTACCAGGAGCTGATGGTCAGAGGTAGGACAGAAGGGAGAGGCTGGGGGCTCTAGCTGGGTCCTGCAATGAGCCTTTCCAACCCCAAGATCACATCCTCCCTCCTAGGATGAGTCCATCCACAGGGCCCTGGCCATGCCTACAGGATCCTCCAGGGGCTGCCCGCTGTGTCGTCCATGGGGCAGAGTTCTGGAGCCAGTACCGAATCAATGTGACTGAGGTGAACCCCCTAGGGGCCAGTACGCGCCTACTGGATGTGAGCTTGCAGAGTATCTGTGAGTACTTATTCCTACTGCTTCCTCAGATCCCCACCTCAGAGACCCCACATGGGTTCCAGACTACAGACAGTCCAATACAGAACCTCCCACTGCCAGAATGCCCAAATTCTTCCTTCCTGACATAGACCCCATTTTAACATACAGATAGCCCCCAATGGAGACTCAGAAGCCAAAGAGATCAGAGCCCAGGATGCAGGGTTCTGCTGCCACTACCCCTTCCTGGCTTCCTAGCCCACGAGTCCTTCCTGGCTGCCTAGTCCCAGAGCTGCCTCTTTGCTTCTAGTCCCTGTGTTGAAGGCAGCCATGTCTCATGTCCTCCCTGCCTGGTGTAAGCCCTTGCTAGCCCCTCTTTCCTAATGATCTATATGTGAGAGGGAAACTAAAGCTCTAGATGAAATTTAGGCTAATTAATTTTCTTCCTTGGATGGAAAGCAGAATCATTCTTTAATTCACTAAACAAATACTTCAAAAACCTGTCCCCAGATCTCAGCTCATTTTATAATAGGGATGACAGACAAGTCTTGAGCCCAATGGATGATCAAGCTTAAGATTTCCCCATCCCCCTTGAAAGTGCCTCCCTCAGGTACCTTTAGGCATATACCCACCTTCCCTTGGGAGGTGGTGGGGAGAAGGGACGAGCACCTGTTGCCTGTCCTGACTTTGTGTCTCTACCCCCATCAGTGCGCCCTGACCCACCTCAGGGGCTTCGAGTCGAGTCGGTACCTGGCTACCCCCGCCGCCTGCATGCAAGCTGGACATACCCGGCCTCCTGGCCCCGCCAGCCCCACTTTCTACTCAAGTTCCGACTTCAGTACCGTCCAGCGCAGCATCCAGCCTGGTCCACGGTGAGACCTGGAGTATGTCCCAATCTAGGGCTGTGGCTTCTGCCTCTGGTTTTATGTTCCTGGTTATTCTTCATGGCTTTCTGGCACACTGGCAGGTCACCAGAGTCCTGTAACCTCCCCCTATAGAGTGCTCTCCATGGTCCAGCCTTTGTGCTGGGTGCTGGGGTTGGAGCAGAGCCCAACAGGCCTAGCCTCTGCCCTGGGGGGCTGTACCTGTAACATAAGCCCATCCATGGGAAGACAGGAGTGGCTTTTTACAAATAACTTTTCTAGGAAAAGGAGTGCCTTTCACCCAGAGGCACAACCTCATGCAAACATTCATATACGCAGATGAAGATAGTAGTGAATTCTCACCTCTGGAATGTTAAAGATTGGCTAGCATCAAGTCTGGGGAGCAGCTGCCTCAGATAATAACAAATATTTACTGAGCACTGTCTGCCCTCCAGGCACCATACTACACATTTTACGTGCATTATCTTGTTCAGGTATATTCACCTCTATTTTACAAATGAAGAAACTGAGGCACAGAGCAGCCCAAGGTTACCCAGTAAGTGATACAGCAAAGATTTGAACCCAGCCAGTCTGATGGCACAGCCTGTCTACATAACCATTATGTACTTTTGTCTTTCAAACACTAGGTGTAGACCTGACACCACCAGCCAACCCACGTGAGGCCAGATGGCTCCAGCAGTCTGACAGGGACAGGACTGGGAGAAGGGGGAGCTGTTTGCTCACTGAGGCTGGGGGCCAGGTAGGCTTGGCACTTACAACCTGGATAATGGGCCAAGGAATCATCTTCATTCCCAGGTGGAGCCGGCTGGATTGGAGGAAGTGATCACGGATGCTGTGGCTGGGCTGCCCCATGCTGTACGAGTCAGTGCCCGGGACTTTCTGGATGCTGGCACCTGGAGTGCCTGGAGCCCTGAGGCCTGGGGGACTCCAAGCACCGGTGAGAGACTGAGTCCCTGAGCCCAGGGCATGGCCGGAGGGCCGGCCCCACAGGGTCTGTCAGCTGGGTCTTCGGTCTTCACTTCAGCTTTGATTGCCTACAGCCCTGCCTTCCTGCCTTTGCTTAAGCCCTGCCCCTCAGCTTCCACCTCTGTGAGGTCCTCAGAAGCTGGCTCTCCCCTTTGAGCTTCCACCTCCTGGGTACCCCTGTGTCCAAGCTAGGCCCTGGCCTCACTTGGCAAGCCCTGTCTTACACACACACACACACACACACGCACACACAGACACACACAGACACACAGACACACACACACACACACACACACACACACACACCCGCCCTTGTTCCCTACATGGACTATTCTTCTCAGGTCTTGCCTCCTTTCAGGGCCCCTGCCAAAGGAGATGCCAGTTGCGGACCAGCCATACCAGCAGCTGGAGGAGGAGCCTCAGGCAGACAACCCTGCTCCCCCCAGGCCCTCCCTCCTGCCAGACCCACGGCCACTTGGTGAGCTCGGGCAAGTGAACAAAGCTTGTATAGGACAGGAAAGCCCCAGAGAGAAAGGATTTGGTTAGGCAGCCTCTCTCTCACAGTGGCATGTGACCCTGCCCCTCAGACCACAGGGACCCCCTGGAGCAGGTAGCAGTGTTGGCATCTTTGGGAATCTTCTCTTTCCTGGGACTGGCGGCTGGGGCCCTGGCACTGGGGCTGTGGTAAGTAACTGCCATTGGCTTCTCAAATTAGAGCATCCCACAGATGCTCTGATACCCACAGACCAAACCCATTCCCACCCTTCATGATTTCCCACTGAAAATTTTCTGATTCTGAAATGACTCCCCTACTCCCTCCAACCCCCAACTTCATTATTTTCACTGATTTCTCTTCTGACCCTTTACTAATACACTGTTTTGGAGGAGACAGAGATGCCCCACATTGTCAGGGAGACAGCTGCCTTTTTATGCTCCAGGCTGAGACTGAGACCAGATGGTAAGGAGGGACCCCAAAAGCCTGGGTTCTTGGCTCCAGTGATTCCAGTGGACAGACTTCCAGGTGAGTAGGACCTCTAGGAGGTTTGGACTTGGGAGATGTGTGCCCTCATTTTGAGTGCCTGGATTAAGAGTCAGATGCTCTGGTCATTGTTAAGAGTGTTGCAAATCAGAGTTGGGTCACCTCATTCTTCTGTCTGAGCTCAGGAATGGACCTTTCATTCTTGAGTCCTTGGGCTAAGAGTGGTCTCTTCCTTCTCCTACATGGTATTGGGGCTCCTAGATGGGCCCCTTATTTTCAGGGTGTTAAGCTCAGAGCTAGACATCTATCCTGAATCTTGGGGTATCTTGGATCAGAGCTGGGTCCCTTCTCTTATTCTTGATGTACCTGGGCCTAGGGCCAGTTACACTCCCTCATCTTCAGGGTGGGCTCCCCTATTCACTTGGAGTGTTGGGCTCAGGGCCGGGTCCCTTCCTTAATTCTCAGAGTGTTTGGGCCACGATCCAGTCCTATTATCTCCCTTGATTTGCCTCCTGCTTCTTCTAGGAGCCCCAAACCTATAGATGACCCAGGAGGGCTTCAGCTGATTTCACCTATAACTCTTTCTTGCTGGTGTGGATGGACAGACAGATAAAACCCAGGCAGGATAGATCCCCATGGAGGCAGAGGTATGGGGAGTGGTCTCAGCTGGAAGTTCTGTTTGGAGCCCATTTCTATGAGATTCTGTGTTCCCAACTTGCCAGCTGGAAGTGCCCAGATGTCTGATTTCATCTCAGAGTCGGAGGTCTACCAGAGTATTATGTGTAGATGAGTATGTTTGTGTCTATGTGTGCCCATGTGTATGTGAGGTAGAGAATGTGTGTTCCTTAAATTTATGCATGTAGATGCCTGGGGAGTATGTGTGCGTCCTTGGCTCTTGACCTTGCCCCTTGAGGGGTTTGTGAAGATGTGAATAAAGAGAATGTGGAGGTTCTTCTGTTTATTGACATGCCACCCAGCTTCAGATTGAGGGCTCACAGGAGAATGCATAGAACTTAGAGACCATAGTCAGAGACTATTGTCCAATGCTGCTTTATTATTTTGGCTACTGGGGGTCCTGGTCCATTTTCCCTATCAGCTCCAAATTTAGGTTAGGCAGAGTACCCTGGAACCTCCTCCCTTGGCGCTCAAACCACCGAGCCAGGCTGCGGTTCTGAGGATGGATGCAGACACTGCGTCGAGACAAGTGAAGCCTGGGAAAGGAAAAGTGCAAGGCCATAGTTATAGCCTGGAGATGAGGTTAGGGTCCAGGGGTTAGGGCAAAGGCTAAATGAAAACCTGAGTCAGCATCAGAATTAGCAACTGGGGCTGGGGTTGGGGTCAGCATCAGGTTGGGACTGAAGTCAGAGTCAGGGGTCAATATGAGGGGCAGGATCAGAGCTCACACGAAGGCTTGGAGGTGACAGTCTCCATCAGCTTCCTGCAGTTCCACCCGGATGACCTTCCTCAGTAGCTTGTTCGAGAGTGGCTGGCGGTAGAGCTGAGTACAGCAGGTAATGCTGGGTGACAGTAGCAGTGCTAGGGGACAATGAGGCCATGTGTTCAGCGGGCTCCTGACCCAAAACCCTTCCATCAGACAGCTGGAGGATGGACTTCCTGGGCCCCTTTCCCTCCCTGTACCCAAATCCCTGGCTTCTAGAATCCTAAGCACTTACTTGCTCCAGGGTCTTGGCACAGCAGCAGCAGTAGCAGAAGGAGGCTGCTTGTGGGTGAGGGCCCCTTCATGCTGCTCAGCCTGGATACTTCTCTCTTCTCCTCCTCCCCTACCTTTTATCTGGGTGCCTTTTACCTGGGGCACGAGGTGAGTCAGAGGCAGGTGAAGATGTATTGCTCATCCTGTGACATTCCTGAGTCCTAATTGCCACAGACCCCTTCCTCTTCTAGGGCTGCCATTTCCTATGGCTTCTAAGCCCTGGACAAAGAAGCTGGAGAGAGGGCTACTGCATGATGTGAAGGCTGATGGCACAGTGACCAAGTAAGGGAAGCTAAAGATCCACGAAGGCATCCAGTGATGGACATTCACACTCATATACCCATGGTCGTATTCACAGTCACACTTCAATCACTCAGTCAACCTCACATGGTCAGACAACCAAAGACAGAATCATATAGCCCCAGCTGTCCTCAAAGTCCCACTCCTACAGCTGTGTCTTCACAATCATCCAGTCACACAATCACAAAGCACACACAACGAAGGGGAATTTTGGGTGGGGTGGGAGCAGAGGGAAAGCCGGCACCAACTTGCCTTCATCTTCCCCTCTATACTTCCTGTCCTAGCCTGCCTGTCTTATCAGGAGAAATTGATGGGAATGGGTCCCTAGATCAAGCCCTTCTGGCTGAGGATGAGTCTTGGCTGGAACAGTTACATCCAGAGTGAGAAGCTGGGACGAGGCCCTTTTTGGTGACACTGGGGTACCTTGGGAATGATGAGGTAGGGGCTGCTTTCTCCAGGGAGATGAGACAGGGAGGAAAGATGGAGTAGGAAGGTGAGAGAAGATAAAGTTCTTTGGTGCCAGGTTGTTGCTGTCAACAGGGAAAGACCCAAGAAATCTTACCTTCCTGTTTTTGCTTAGTCCTATCCCATTAATGCCAGCCTCTTGCCAGAAGGGGTGCCTGGGGATTCCAGAACAAGTCTCTGGTTTATGGAGACATCAGACTCAAGAGCTCAATGAGCCTTCTTTTGTTCTACTCAAATTCCAGCCTCTCCCTGCTCCCCAGCAAGGTCCTGTAATACCACCCTTGCCCCAACCCAGCCCTCAACCGTTACACTCTCTGCATCCCATCTTCTTGCTAAAGCCCCAACCTCTCATCTCCTTCCTGTCTCTTCTCTCCTATCCTATACCCAGCCCTAATTCCCATCTTCCCCTCACCGCCTAAAGCAAAAGTCCTCCTCCTCATCTTGTGCTTTCCAGGAAACTGGGACCTACCTATGGTGGGGGCAAGTTGCTAAGTTTCGTGCCCCTAGCCCCTTGAAGAATTTCCCACTCCTGGTCTGGGGATTTCAACCCTCAAATCTTGCTCCGTATTTGAAACAAACTGATCCATAACCCAGTCATCCAGACTTTATCTGGTTGTTGCAGGGGTGCCTTGTGTAGCCTTCTGCTCTGTGGCCAGCTATCCTCTATGGGGCAGGCCTTCTCTTGGGACAGAGACTCAAACCTGTCCTGGGCATCTTTCTGCTGCAGGGCTGCTGAAACAATCAGGAGGGACCATCAGTTCCAAGAGTAGGAACTAGTCCCCCTCCCATGCTGAACAACTCAAGTTTCTCCTTTCTTTTGTCCAGGGTGAGGCTTGAAGGCCTCTTCCTGGAGTTTGTCTTGTGAACACTCAGGAATTCTGACAGTGTCCTGATGAGATGTAGGGCTGGGCTTGACAGGGTACTCCACTGTTGTTAGGGTTCTTGATGTAGACATTATGAGGAAGTGACTCAAGAGGCTGGGTCTGTTCTTGAAGGTGGCCACGACCCAGAGGTCATTCATCTTGAACTGCTAGTACCAGCGGCCTTGGGGTCTCTCTCCCACCCTCCAGTCTGGACTTGTGCCCCAGAGCTCAGGTGCAGCTCTTGAGGTGCCATTGTCTTATCACAGATCTCCATCAGCTGGCTGTCTGCCACATACTTTGTGGTCTTTCCTGGACCAATCAGTCCAGACATCTGGGAGGGCAAAAAATGATTTCTTCTGGGCATGTACCCATTTCTCCCTCTTTGGCTTCTCCAAAGATAGGGCCACGTGCTCTCCCCAGCCACAAGCTGCTGTGGCAGGGGTGGCCCCAGACTGAAAGTTAGCTTTGCCCCCATCCATACACTGGGCTGTCTCTTTAACTTAATCTTCTGGTACCTTTGCTGGTGCTGGACCCCGTCCCTAACAAAAGCAGGCCCACCAGGAGCCCCTCACCCTCAGCACTTTAGGAGCTAGAGGGTCTCAGGTCAACTAGATGACAAGATAGAAAGGGGTGGCAGGGAGCAGCAGCCTTTGAGTTCTCCTACAGACATAGCAAGAACTGCTAGGTGAGCTGATGCCAAGTATCTTTAAACGTGGGAAACGGCTGGAGGAGCCAAAAGTTGGGGTATTAACTGTAAGAAAGATCTCCAACAGTCCCAAGTCACTCCCCTGTGGCAGGTTGAGGGAGTCAGCCTCTAGGAATCTTCCCTCCTCTCAGCCTACTTCCTACAACTCTGGGCTTAAAATATTTTAGGTTCACTCTCAGAGAAAGAAGATGCTTCTGACAACCGGCAAAGTCCTTTCTAGGAGGGAAGTGGAACACATCAATGTGGGGATAAGGCTGGGAGGAAGACCGGGACAGGGCTATTTAAATACCTGCATATAGGCAACTGACAGGGAGGTGTGGAGGCGGTGGGGGTGGGGTTAGGTGTTGGAGGACAGTAAAAGACAGTAATGGGAGGCTTGATACTGATGAGGGATCCTTAGGAATAACGGGGGCCTGGAAATGGAAAGGCACCCAATCAGAGAGGGAGGCCCTGACAGTAACGAAAAGCAGGCGTGTAGAGGGGCTCCCAGCCCGAATGGCGGCAGCGGCGGCAGAGTCAGGAGGGCAGCATGGTGGCTTCGGTTTAAATCTTTAATGCACCGGCTGGCTGGGCAGTGGCGGCGGGGGTGCGGCGAGGGAGGCCGCGACCCGAGCGCTGGGGGGCAGGGCCCAGGCCGCTTGACAAACAGCTCATCAGGCCTCGCAGAGGCTCCAGCTTCTGCTCCCGCGGATGCGCCGAGCTGCGGGGCAACCCGACACTGGCATGAGACAAGGAGGGGACTCCCAGATTCCCCCCATCCGTCCCCCGAGGCTGAGCCTCGTACGCCCCGGGCGGGTCCGCGGCGTCGCAGCTCCCTCACCTCCTGTCCCTCCGCCACATGCGCAGCCAAGGGAAAAAGTAGAAGCAACCCCAGTAGATCCTGTGGAGAGAAGGCCGAGCGGGCCGGGCGGGGCGGGGCTGACCCCACAGATTCCGCGGCTCGGATGCCACGCCCCTCTCTTGGAAGGCTCCGCCCCGCCCTTTAAGAGGCGGTTCCCTCCGCGGCCCACGCCCCTTGAGGGGCCCCACACCTCCCGCCCGCAGAAAACTCGTGCCCTCCCCCTCCCCCCCCCGCAGAGAAGCTAGGTTCCTCCTCCGCAGAACCCGCCTCCACTCACTCCTCCTCCGCCTCCAGCGCCACCTCGTATCTCCTCAATCCCGACATGTCGTGGGCTCCGAACGTCTCCTGGGGAGCAGCATGATTGGATCAAGGACTCCCCAACCCCATGTACCCCTCTCTGTCATTCTCAGGACCCGTCTGACCTGTTCTCAGGTAATCTGAGGCAGGACCCCCGGGAAGTCTCAATTGCCACATCGGGACAGGGTGGGGGATTGAAGAATTGGGAGGCACCAGACGTTAAGGAATTAGGAGGTCGGTCACCTCGGGGATCTGGGGCGTTAGGGAGAAAGGCTTTGCGGTCATGGACCTGGGATATTTGGGGCCCTGGGTGAGGATTTCGGGGGTGGGGATCACCTGGAGGGGGGCTCAGGGGTCGGCGCAGCCTAAACTCCCGCCCTCCCTGGCTCCACCCCGGAAACAGACCGTTACTGTTACGTCATAGGGACTCCGTCGCGCACCAGGGGTGGGGCTTGCCTATTACCCGGAAGGAGCGAAGTCCGAGCACTTCTTCAGAGGAGGCGGAGTCAAAGTGTCACACTGGAGGTGGAGCCAGGGTCTATCCTAAGGAGGTGGAGTCGGGCCTTATTACTAGGATGCAGAGCACCGGACGTTTCTTTCACCCGGATGGAGTCAGATTTTGTAGCTCTCTCCCTGGAGAAAGACGCTAGCCAGTACTGTTTTCCCAATCCTTTTTCCTCTTTGTTTGACTTCTGCGCTACCACTTGCCTTTCTTGTCTGCCCTTTTCCACTTGTATGACCGGGGTCTGAGGAGGAATAGGTCTCCAGAGAGGGCCCAGCCTAGATGGAGCAGCCTGCGGGAGTACTTATGTGAGTGGCCTGGTTAATGGCCAGAGGGTTACAGCCCTTCCTCTCTGAGCTGAAAGCTATCTTCCTGTGAATTTTGTTCCTAGTGTCATTCAATTCAGCAAATATATCATGCTAGGAATGGGTATAGAGCATTAGAGAAGGCAGATTATTACAATAAATGGTACACTGGTTGGAGGCAACAGAGGGTGCTGCAGTAGAGCCCAGAAAGAGCAATTAACCCATTGTAAGGTGTTGGAAATAGCTGTCCCAGTTGGTCTGGGGATAGAGGAAGGGAGCCTTCTGGCTGGACGTAAGGGAGAGAGTGACCAGAAATAAGTGAAGTGAGGGGCGCCTGGGTGGCTTAGTCGGTTAAGCGTCCGACTTTCACTTAGGTCATGATCTCGCGGTTCGTGGGTTCGAGCCCCGCGTCGGGCTCTGTGCTGACAGCCAGCTCGGAGCCTGGAGCCTGTTTCAGTCTGTGACTCCCTCTCTCTCTGATCCTCCCCTGCTCACACTGTCTCTCTCTCTCTCCTAGAAAAAAAAAAAAAAAAAAGAAATAAGTGAAGTGAAAGTTCCCTCAGGCTGAAGTGTGGAGAAAGGATACAACTACTCTGCCCCCCCCCCCTACCTCCCCCCCCCCCCCACACTTTCTTTCTCCCTCTCTCATACCTCTCTTGCCCTGCTTGGGCCACAAACAAGATGGCAGACATCCGTGGGTACCAGTTGGGGTTAATTGGATACACTGCAGTCTGAGTGTGGAGGAGAAGCTGTACTCCTGCCACACTCATCCCTGCTCACACTCAGACTCACATTGACACTGCAGGCCCTGTCCCCACCAAGTCAGGTCTGGTGCAGAGTTGCTGGAAGCCTGGTGCTCTCTTCTGGTCCTTGGTTCCTCGGAGTCTCGATGATTCACATCCTTATACCCAGGCACAGGGCTCTCTCTGGGGCTGTCACGGGTTAATGACTGTGGTACTTGTTCTAGGGGAAGGAGAGGCAGGGTCACGGATGTCTTGGGCATGGGCTCTGAGGGAGAAGGCAGGGCTAGGAAGAGCTGGACTTGCCTTTGTAGAGTTCTTCTGAGATCTTCAGATGATGTGGTTCACCCAGGGCTGTTCTGGGGTGCACAGAGCTGGTGACCTCTCAGGACAGTGAACCTGGAATCAAAAGGAATGGAACAGCCCTGAAACTTCCTGGCAGGCCCTGGTGTGAGGGGCAGAAACTGAGGACCATATCTGGGAACCTGTTTCGGGGGCTTCCTCGTGGGGAGGAGCTTGGCAAGGAGAAGAGGAGTAAGATAGTGAGTGGAGGCCCAGGTGATGGAGGAAGTAATTGGGAGAGATAGAGACTGGTTACTCTTCACCCCCCACCCACAAGACATCAGCACCTTGTAGCCATCGTTGAGGAGGAGATAGGAGTAAAAAGACACCAAAGATGTTTCCGGGAATTGGCATTGGTTCACCAAGAGACAGAGCCCTCAGAGTTGTTGGCATCATCAGAGCTGGGGGAGTGGGTAGGTGTAGGGGTTAGGGCTTGAGGGGCTTTAAGGTGGGAAAGACCACAGCCCTGACTGGAACTCAGGATGCCTGTGTCCAGGGTCATAGCTTTAATGTTCCTTTCTTTCCCTTCCATGTGCACTGTCCTTTTCTTCCTCTGGAAACCCAGGCTAAAAGAGATAGAGCCACTAGAGAGAAGGGCAGCCAGAGGCCCCAGAACCCATCCAGGTACTGACACATAGGAATACTGGGGACAGAAGCACATCTGTATCACACAGGTGCACACATGGGACACAGTCACACCGACACCACACACACCCATGTATAGATTGCATAGAAGTATACACAATGCATGTAAACCCACAGTACACAAGGACATACAATCACTGGACACACCCATTTGGCACATGTACACTCTCAGGTTCACAGACACACTTGGACCTGGGTGTTGACCTGAATTCACAGTCTCCTTCGCAGATTCCCTGATCCCTCTTCTGCCCCTCATCTTATCATTTGCTTACTTACTTTCCAGGGGAGACCAAGAAATCAGTATGCTAAGAAGAGCAGCGGTGCTGTGCAGGAGGCCATGGAAGACGGATAGAGATGGACAAATGGGTAGAATCTTTGGAAGCAGCAAATGTATGGGTGCAGAGCAAGAGTCCTGCTTGTGTGGAGCCTGTGTAAGACTGAGACTGCATGGAAGAGTGAGGGTAAAGGTGAGGGAGTCCATGGGGGTTCTGTGATGTGTGTGTGAGCCTGTGTGAGGCTGTAGCTATCTCTGGTTATGGCCTCCTGAAGCTTTCTTTTTTTACATCCAGAAATTTCTTCCTTTCTGTTGCGTAATAAAGAATTTTGACTGCTCTTTGTTCCTGATTTCTGAAAGTGAGACCTTAAATCTTTTTTTTTAAATGTTTTTATTTATTTCTGAGAGAGAGAGAGAGAGAGAGAGAGACAGCGTGAGCAGGGGAGAGTCAGAGAGAGAGGGAGACACAGAATCTGAAGCAGGCTCCAGTCTCTGAGCTAGCTGTCAGCACAGAGCCTGATGCAGGGCTCGAACCCACAAACTGAGATCATGACCTGAACTGAAGTCGGATGTTTAACCTACTGAGCCACCCAGATGCCCCAAATCTTTGAATTTCCTGAGTAATAGGAGTGTCTTTGTTATTTATGAGCCCCTTGGATTGTTACACCTGAGTTTATGCTAAGAGATGAGATGACTTAGGATCATCTGGGGGCTGGTCACCAGAAAGACCAACCATATTACCGGAGAGCTGGAGCTTTGAGCCTGGGCAACCTCTGGGAAGGGCAGGTGCGCTGGAGATTGAGTTCAGCCAATAATTCAGTCATGCCTACACGATGAAATCTCAGTAAAAATTCTGGACACCTGAGGTGCTTGGGTGGCTCAGTCAGTTGGGCATCCAACTCTTGATTTTGGCTCAGGTCATGATCTTACGGTTTATGAGTTCAAGCCCTGTGTTGGGCTCTGTGTGGACAGTGCAGAGCCTGCTTGGGATTCTTTATCTCTTCTCTCTCTGCCCCTCCCCTGCTCTCACCCACACGAACTCTCTCAAAATAAATGAATAAACATTAAAAAACCACAAAACTCTGGACAGCAAAGCTCATAGAACTTCCTGGTTGGTGAACACACCGATGTGCCAGGAGGGTGATGTGCCTTATGTGTGTTAGTGGGGTTAGAGCATGAAATTCTGCATTTGAGACCCTCCCAGACTGCCCTCTGTGTCTTCATTGGCTGTTCCTGATTCATATCTTTTATAAGAAACTTGGGGCGCCTGGGTGGCTTAGTCGGTTAAGTGTCTGACTTTCGCTTAGGTCACGATCTCGCGGTTCGTGGGTTCGAGCCCCGCGTCGGGCTCTGTGCTGACTGCCAGCTCAGAGCCTAGAGCCTATTTCGGAGTCTATGTCTCCCTCTCTCTCTGACCCTCCCCTGCTTATGCTGTCTCTCTCTCTCTCTCTCTCAGAAATAAATAAAAAAACATTTAAAAAAACTTAAAAAAAATCTCCCCGAGGCCCATCACAGTGCCTATGCATCTGTCATCTGAGACCTGGTCTTTCCTTGGACAAGCATTGCTAATGGGAAAGTTTTTTGGAAGCATGTCTAATTCCTGTATCTCACATCTAAGGACTCTATGGTTTCACCTTCCTGGCCCAGCCAACACTGACCCTTTCCCCAATTGACCCCATTTTCCTATGCGCCAAGCTGAGTCAGAGCAATAGCGTGAGGGAAACCTGGCCTAGAATACCCACTTCTACCATGCCTTCCCTATCCTGGAAATTGAGAGAGGATTTTTGAGGAAAAGGGCTGGTCAGCTCCCAGAGACAAGGAAATAGGAAGGAAAGTTTAACCTCCTCCTGGCCGATTTGGGTGCTTTTATTTCTTTGTGTTGTCTGATTGCTGAGGCTAAGACTTCCAATACTATGTTGAATAACAGTGGTGAGAATGGACATGCCTATCTTGTTCTTGACCTTGAAAGCGCTCAGTTTTTCCCCATTGAGGATGATATTAGTGTTGAGTCTTTCATGTATGGCTTTTATGATCTTGAGGTATGATCCTTCTATCCCTACTTTCTTGAGGGTTTTTATCAAGAATGGATGCTGTATTTTGTCAAATACTTCCTCTGCCTCTATTGAGAGGGTCATGTGGTTCTTGTCCTTTCTTTTATTGATGTGATGAATCACATTGATTGTCTTGGTGGATTTTGAACCAGCCCTGCATCCCAGGTATAAATCCCATTTAGTTATGATGAATAACTTTTTTAGTGTATTGCTGAATCCAGTTGGCTAATATCTTGTTGAGGATTTTTTTTAAAGTTTATTCATTAACTTTGAGAGAGAGACAGAGAGAGGCAGAGAGAGAGAGAGAGAGAGAGAGAGTGCATAAGTGGGGGAGGGCAGAGAGAGAGGGAGAGACAGAATCCTAAGCAGGCTCCAGGCTCTGAGCTGTCAGCACAGAGCCTGACATGGGGCCTGAACTCATGAACCGCGAGATCATGACCTAAGCCAAAGTTGGACACTTAACTGACTGAGCCACCTATGTGCTCCTCTTGTTGAGGATTTTTACATCCATGTCCAACAGGGAAATTGGTCTATAGTTCTCTTTTTCAGTGAGGTCTTTGTCTGGTTTTGGAATCAAGGTAATGCTGACTTCACAGAAAGGGTTTGGATGTTTTCCTTTCATTTATATTTCTTTAGAACAGCTTTGAGAGGGTAGATGTTAACTTTTCCTTACATGTTTGGTAGAATTTCCCTGGCCATCTGGCACTGGACTCTTGGTATGGGGAGGTTTTTGATTACTAATTCGATTTCTTTACTGGTTATGGGTCTGTTCAGATTTCCTATTTCTTCCTGTTTCAGTTTTGATAGTTTATATGTTTCTAGGAATTTGTCCATTTCTTTCAGATTGCCCATTTTATTGGAGTATAATTGCTCATAATATTCTCTCATTATTGTTTTTATTTCTGCTGTGTTGGTTGTGATCTCTCCTCTTTCCTTCTTGATTATATTTATTTGGGTCCTTTTTGTTTTTGATCAAACTGGCTAGCAGTTTATCAATGTTGTTAATTCTTTCAAACCAGCTTTTGGTTTCATTGATCTGTTCTACTATTTTTTTGTTTGTTTGTTTCAATAGCATTGATTTCTGCCCTAATTTTTATTATTTCTTGTCTTCTCCTGGTTTTGGGTTTTATTTGCTGTTCTTTTTCCAACTCTTTAAGGTGTAAGCTTGGGTTGTGTATCTGAGACTTTTTTTCTTAGGAAGGCCTGGATTGCTATATACTTTACTCTTATGATCACCTTTGTTGCGTCCCATAGGTTTTGGGCTGTGGTGTTACCAGTTTCATTGTCTTCCATGTACTTTTTTTTTTAAAAATGTTTTTTATTTAAAACATGAGAGAGAGAGACAGTGTGAGCAGGGGAGGATCAGAGAGAGAGGGAGATACAGAATCTGAAGCAGGCTTCAGGCTCTGAGCTAGCTGTTAGCACAGAGCCCGACACAGGGCTCGAACGCATGAACCGTGAGATCATGACCTGAGCCGAAGTTGGACACTTAACCGACGCAGGCACCCCTTCCATGTACTTTTTAATTTTCTCTTTAACTTCTTGGTTAGCCCATCCATTCTTTAGTACAATGTTCTTTAGTCTCCAAGTATTTGTTACTTTTCCAATTTTTTTCTTATGGTTGATTTTGAGCTTCATAGTGTTGTGATCTGAAAATATGCACAATAAGATCTCAATCTTTTTGTACTTGTTGAGGGCTGATTTGTGTCCCAGTATGTGATCTATTCTGGAGAACGTTTCGTGTGCACTGGAGAAGAATGTATATTCTGCTCCTTTAGAATGAAATGTTCTGAATTTATCTGTTAAGTCCATCTGGTCCAGTGTGCCATTCAAAGCCATTGCTTCCTTGTTGATTTTTTGTTTAGATGATCTGTCCATTGCTGTAAGTGGGGTGTTAAAGTCCCCTACCATTATGGTATTATTATCAATGAGTTTCTTTATGTTTGTGATTAATTGATTCATATATTTGGGTGTTCCACATTTGGAACATAAATGTTCCAATTGTTAGGTCTTGGTGGATAGACCCCTTAATTATGGTATAATGCCCTTCTTCATCTCTTGTTACAGTCATTATTTTAAAGTCTATATTGTATATATAAGTCTGATATAAGTATATAGCTGATAAAAGTATGGCTACACTGGCTTTCTTTTGCCGACCATTAGCATGATAGATGGTTCTCCATTCCTATACTTTCAATCTGAAGGTGTCTTTAGGTCTAAAGTGGATCTCTTGTAAACAGCATATAGATAGATCTTGTTTTCTCATCCATTCTGTTACCCTATGTCTTTTGATTGCAGCATTTAGTCCACTGATGTTTAGAGTAAGTATTGAAAGATGTGAATTTATTGCCATTATGTTTCTTGTAGAGTTGGAGTTAATGGTGGTGTTCTCTGGTCCTTTCTAGTCATAGTTGCTTTTGGTCTTTTGTTGTTGTTGTTGTTGTTTTGTTTTGTCTTTTCTCCCCTCAGAGAGTCCCCCTTAAAATTTCTTGCAGGGCTGGTTTAGTGGTCACGAACTCCTTTAATTTTTGTTTGTCTGGGAAACTTTTAATCTCTCCTATTCTGAATGACAGCCTTGCTGGATAAAGAATTCTTGGCCTGCATATTTTTCCATTTCAACACATTGAATATATCCTGCCACTCCTTTCTGGCCTGCCAAGTTTCTGTGGATAGGTCTGCTGCAAACCTGATCTGTCTTCCCTTGTAGGTTAAGGACTTGTAATTTTTCCTTGCTGCTTTCATGATTCTTTCCTTGCCTGAGTATTTTGTGAATTTGACTATGATATGCCTTGTTATTGGTCATTTTTTGTAGAATCTAATGGAAAGTCCTCCAGTGCTTCCTGAATTTTTATGTCCATGTCTTTCCCCAGGTTAGGCAAGTTTTCCATTATGATTTGCTCACATAACCCTTCTACCCCTTTCTCTCTCTCTCTTCATCTTGTGGGACCCTTATGATTCTGATTCTGATGTCGTTCCTTTTTAATGAGTCACTGATTTCGCTAATTCTTTTTTTAAATATTTATTTATTTTTGAGAGAGGGGAGGGGCAGAGAGAGAGGGAGACACAGAATCCCAAGCAGGCTCCAGGCTCTGAGCTGTCAGCACAGAGCCTGATGCAAAGTTCAGACCCATGAACTGTGAGATCAGGAGCTGAGCCAAAGTCATACACTTAAACAACTGAGGCACCCACGCGCCCCTGATTTCTCTAATTCTTAAATCGTGCTCTTTTGCCTTAGTCGCCCTCTTTTCTTCTGCTTCATTATTCTCCATGAGATTGTCCTCTATATTGCTGATTCACTG